ATTGGACAATTGTGTTCAATCTGAATGCATCGTTAAACAGGCCCTTGCGGAGCCTGTTTCTAGGTCGTCATCAATATATTGTTTTGGTCACATCCCCAATATTTGGGGTCATGAAAATACTCCTTGCTATAGCTTCACTCTAGGGAGCAAATCTACATTTTGATTCTGCAGTAGCATGAGTTGACCTTGATAATAATTTTATTCTCCACTGCAAGAGATAAGAGAATATGCGACTGAGGTACTGATGGGGATTCAAAAGAATCAAAACTTTTGGTGACAACCAGAATAGAGCTTGTATACTATAGCATCAGTTCGGGCTGAAACAGTTTATTAGCATCTTCCCAACCGTCCGATGTCAACAATGGATGGGTGGGGTGAGTCATTTCTCACCGCTGCAAGTTCACCAATCCTTTGGCAGGATTTAAGCAGAAGAATAGCATGATCCAACAATCGGTTGTTGCAATGAAAAGGTAGGGAAAATAAACTAATGATAGCTCAGTGCAGTTTCAATAATAAGAACAATAGAAACCGCAAGGAAATATATATATATATATATATATATATAAAGTGTCAACCTCATACTGCTGAGGTGCACATCAAAAACCCATTAAAAAACGATTGTTATGATTAATATAAAATAAAAAAGACTCAGATTGACCATCTCAACTTTAAGATGTATAGATCATCATCGTCATCCAGGTCTTATCTCAATTAATTGAGATCGGTAATGATAAGATGTAGCAAAGTTTTTCATTGACTGTCTACCTAAGACAATCTACCTCGTTTACCAAGCTAGGGACGGGCTAAAGGAAACTTTAAGGTCCTCACCCTTCTTAAACCAATAGTAGATATTTGGCTTGCAATACAAAAACATCTCAAATTTGGATGTATCCAAAGTTTCAAACTAGTCCTTGAAGAACAAGATTAATAACAATGCTTACCAATAAACAGTATAGATATGAAGAAAAAAAAATAAGATTTCAACTCATGAATATAGTGCATCTTTTAACACATTACTAGACTATCCATTTTCCAAATTTTCAATCATTTAGAGATCTGCATCAATTTTGGAGCTTTCGATTTCATAATTTCAGATGACAACAAATTTTCATGCAATCACGAGGCCTTTAGGCACTGAAACCGCATCTGTTAGATGCTTTATACAAACCTCACCTAAAACTATTACTAATATTCTTGTGCGATACGTGCCAATGTTACCAAGATTGGATCATACCAATCAGTCTGCTCAGTCAAACTGTAAACAGGCCCCTTAACCAATCGGGTCGGTCATCAAACTACTAGTTTTTTTGCTTCAAAAAATAATGGTATTTATTTCAAAGTAATATCCTTTCAAAATCACAGGCCTTGCAAAGTGTATTGTTTTAGTTCCCCTTTAAGGAATGGAGAAGAAAGACTCATGGCTTAAAACTGCTTTGCTCTTCTATTGTGTTCTTAGAACTAAGAGAGAAGAAGGTTCCTGTGGAGCACATGAAATGTGCGAAGCAAACGTGCATGCGTGTGCGTGTGCATGTTCTTACGTGTAAAGGTGCAAGAGGCATCACACATGTACATCTTCATTACATGCTTCACCAATGATGCACATGTGTGATGATGAGGCCACGACGCAAAATTCCTAAAATGAATAGTCACAAGGTATCGATTTTTCCTCTCTATAATTAGGACTCATGTTCGCTTCCAAAAGATAATCTCTTATACATTCTTCTTTTTTTGAGCCCTTGTTGCACTCGTGCAACTTCTATTTTCAGCTATCTCGAGGATAAATTTGCCTGATCTTATGTGCACATGTTATCAATACGATGTAAATATTATCTTGAGATAACGCATTGACCTGCTTAGAAATAAGAATATCACTCTTGAATTTGTTTTCATATACCCCCAACAAATTGAAATTTTCTATGCCCCCACCATCCCCACCCAATGTGTGCAACAAGAACTCATCAAAACTAAATATTGACCAGTTGGACTAGTTTGATCACCTTATTTTGCGAATTCTATGAGTCATTTTATAGCCCGGAAGTTCAATTTCTCATCCTTAATTTTGGAAAAAATCCCAATTTTTAATTTAAACCATGGCAGCCTTACTCTATTTCTGTTTCCACTCTATTTCTTTTTACAACCTGTTTTTTAATTCTCGAACATATTTTCCTAGTCTTTTACCCTCTCTATTTTATCCATCTCTCCCTCAGGCACATATTCTGTAACTTGGAATGTTATTGTACCGATTTTGAGCTCAAAAACTAAGATGTTGTTTTAGACTGACTATAAGTCGTACTTTGGAGCTTATAAGCCATGATCACCAAAGTTGCAAAATCCAAACCCTAGCTAGTTTCATGCTTTCTATATTTTATCACTTATTCTTCTTTTTATGATCTTTAATTAGTTTTATAATTGTTTTGTATGTATTTTTTCAAAGGAAAATTGTTTCATGCTGGCTGGACCTCATTTCTACGATATGCGATCCAGAGGTATAAAGCATCCATCTTAAAGATGGATGCAAATAAGTGGTTGTCCAAATGTTTTTTAATATAATTATTATTTCTATTTGTTTATTTTTATTTTTTTCATATCCATGATCTCCATGTTAAAGATTAATATTCAGTATATATTTATTGCCAAGCCCGCATTTCTATAATATGTGGGCTGGCCACATAGGAACCATGTCCTTTTTCAAAAAAGACAAGTTTAATATGTCAGACCAATTTAGTTTAAATCAATAAAAAAGATAGTCTCATATGTATGACCAGTTTTGATTAGACCAATTTCTTTACTGTTCAATGAACCATATATTTCACTGTTCAATGAACCGCATGAACATATGACACATAGTGCTCTCTCTCTCATACATGCCACTAGTGCTTTTGTCTTTACGGTACCAATTCACATATATTATTGTTTTTGCCTAAATAATCCAAGTGGGATTCTTAAGCAACAATATAGTGGTGGACATGTGACATTGCGGGAACATACCATGAGAGAATTTAGGTACTTTGTGTATGTGACAATGTGGAGAGAGTTTATGATAGCATAATTTTTTAGTTAATTCAATGCCTATCTCTTTATATACTATCTCTAATTAAAAAATAAATTGAAAAAAAAGAACGAGGGTTCTATAAGGCCTAGACTTTATGAAAACAAAATAAACTCTCTCCTCAAATCTTTGTTTGAAAAGCATTTTCGGCCACAGAAGTCTCCATGGCTCTAAAATCAAGTTCTAATACCGACAAAGAAATTCAACACTCAAAATATAGTACAAATCTTGTGGATATGTAAACAATTATTTGTAGGACGAAATGGATGACTTAGATAAATTTATTATAATATACACTATTTTTAGAGCTTGAAATCCTATTTTTTTTCATAACCATAATAGTGAAGTCAAGATGATTGAAGTAAAGGTTCTCTAATGCTTAAATTAGAATTTTTTTATGAGTTATGAGGTGAGGCTTTATTTGTATAGAGCTGCAGCCCTATCAAACCATTTTCTAAAGAAAAAAAAAAAACCTCGATGTTATTTTGCAAGTTAACCTCCCTAACCTTTAGATAAGAACCTTTGATGTTACATCATGTCTTTATACTCTCCTATGCTCTCCGTGATGTAGAATTTTTATATAAAAGATACTTTCTCTATGGAATTTTTTTTTTTAATTGATTTACCATAAAAAGAAGCGACATATTTTTCAACTAGTCCACCAATTACAAGCTATGTCTATATTTAATGGAAATAAATTTTGAGATAGTAAGTTAAAATATTTAAGTGATGTGGGTATTGTATTTTTATTTCTCTAACCACACCACATGTGCAAAGCAAATCTAAAGGAAACCTTTTGACTAATTTCCCATCTGTGTCCAAAATAACAAGATTTGACTATTATTAAGGGGAACTATACAAGAATACCATTTTCCTTTCATATAAAAAGAACACCATCAGCCCAAGTTGATGTTGTATAAGGCCGCCGGGGGTGTATTATTGACTAAGAAAATTTTTCTTAAAATTTTCTCTAAATAATAGTTTTATTTGATTTTACCAAATGTCCAATAAAATTAATAAAGATTATCATCATCATCATCATAAAAGTATTTTTCCAACTAATTGGAGCCAGTTACACAAATTCTAGTCTATCATTCTGCTCTCACAAGGGCCATACCCTTAATAAGGCCATAAGTCCCCAATAAAATTAGCAAGGATAATATCTAATAAACTATACAATGAGATTATTTACTTTTGTACATAAAGGTCAGAAATCTTGGATATGGTGATATCCAAAATTATTGTCATAAAGAAATCCCTTATTAAAATGGACTGATGTCGATATTGATAAAATTCATTTTGAGTCCCAAAAATAGCGCATCTCGCAACACATTATCTAGATCGGTCATTTTCAAGATTTTTATACGTTTATAGATCTACATGATTTTAACTATTTTTGATGTTTAAAATTTTATAATTAGATATGAAAATTGATTTTCAAATAATCCTAAGAACTTTTTACCCCAAATTTTTCAGATAATCCTAGGAACTTTTTTCAGATAAAATTTGGTGGTGAGCATTAATTGGATTGTATAAGGCTGAGACCCAGCCATCCGATTTTACATCACATGGGTGGGGGTGTATACGACTTTAAGAAAAGATAATGCATACAATCACGTATGATTAGGCTTTTTCTTGGGCATTATAGCGAGGGGAAAGTGGCATGAGAAGTAAAAAACCATGAATCCAACCCGAGCGTGCACACGCACAACTCATAAGAGAGAGAGAGAGAGAGAGAGAGAGAGAGGAGAGAGAGTATGTAAATATTTTTACATGGTCCAGCTTTAGTGGTCTGCTCTCGAGCGACACATGGCACGTAAATTCTCAAGTGTGGCCCCCACCTCTGTGAAAAAGAAGACGGAAACGAAATCATTGGTTCCTCCATTGATATGAAATAAATGAGAGCGAGGGGGAGGAAGAGTAGAGAGGAAGTAAGAGAGAGTTATTTTAGTGTTAGAGAGAGAGAGAGAGAGAATTATTTTAGTGTTAGAGAGAAAGAGAGAGAGAGAGAAGAGTAGAGTGGTGGGGCGGTGCAGAGCGCAGAAGCATTTAGCTGTTGAAGCTGCCAGCATGATCCGGTTCAGAATCAGAATTTTGATGATTCAGATCGTGCTGCAGCTTCACCTGCTAATGCATGCAATTTTTCATCTACTTTCACTCTCTCATGCAGCTTCAGCTTTATTGGGTAGCAATGGATGCAAAAATCATTTCAAGTTATTTGGTCATGGTTCCTTCGCATAGTGCAGTTGCACGAACCATACGGTCCAGGTTTGATTCCTCTCTCTCTCTCTCTCACACACACATAAGTGGGTTCTGAAATTTTTCTTTTTTTCTGGCCTGGTTAAATCTCAGGATACACCAAAGATGTTATGAGAAAGTTTTAGGACATAAAGATGACCCAACTTTTGTTTTAGGGCTTGATCAAATGTACAATTTGTACCCGGCCGACCACCACATAGTTCTCCATTTCATCAGTATACCTTGTGACTCTCGAGCTTCAACAACTTCGGTGGTTGCTTTTATTACTTGAATCACGCTTCAACAGGTTAGGACATTGATTAGACGTTTGAGCCCATTTTCTGTTTGTTAAAGTCATCAACTTGAGGTGATGCTTTCCTTTTATCTACCATGCATGTTCTAAGATCTTTGAAGCAAGGGAAAAAGCATCTAATCTGTGTTTGACATATTTGGGAAAGGGGCGGGGGATGGTAGCACCCCCACACCATAGTTACCACGTTGTGTTTTTATTTTCACAACGTTGAGTTTTCATTCTCTTCAAAAAAATAAAATCTTTGAAGCAAGAGAAAAAGCATCTAATCTATGTTTGACATATTTGGGAAAGGGGTCGGGATGGTAACTCCCCTACACCACGTTGTGTTTTCATTCTCTTCAAAAAAAACTAACTCTTCAAATTATTTGAAAAATATGGGCAGATGACTCTCTTCCTCACAGGAAAAAAAAAAAAAACAAAATTAAAACAAAAATTGGCATACTTATTCTTAATGCCAACTTAACTTAAGGTGTCTCTCTCTCTCTCCAGCCAAATTGGAGGATCCTATTTCCCTAGGGGCCCATCAAGGAGGACAATAATTCTACATGCTCTAACAAAAAAAGGCCTGTCTGTATTAATTTTGTAGTTGAAAGTTGAATATGTGTGTTTGGTAGTACAATTGCCCAAGCAAAGAAGCAGCTCAGATTGAGTGTTTGAATGAGAAGATTTGTTGGGTAAAGTTTTTTGTTTGTGTTTTCTATGTTTGGCCCTTGGGCTCTGGCCTAATGGTTAAAACATGCCATTTGTATGAAGGAGGTCCACGGTTCTCTGCATATCTATCCTTTGCGCTTTTCTTACACTGTTCTATGAAATATTATTAGAATCGGACTGACAAAATTACTGAGGGGTACAGTTAGTTCAAATACATTGAACTGATATTCAAAAATATAAAAAAATTAAGAGTAATACATAGTACAAAAGAGTTTGCCCAACATTGTTTCACCGCTCTAATCGGGCACAAATTGCCGCACAAATCAGTCAGAATCTATCAAACATTAACTTTAACTGGTTTTTGTCCAAATATAATATTTACTATGGACCAAACAAACCAATATACTGATCGGTGTCCAACCTAGCAGACCGGTCAACTCCATCTGTTCTAGTCCTGATAACCAGCCAATTTTGTCTAATGTAGTTTTGATTACAAAACTTCTATGCATATCTGTCATTTAATATCTCGAAGAAACAACAAAAGGCTTTTAACAAAAATATTAAGGGAAATGATAGATACCCCCTAAAATGAACTTCGTAGACATCGTCCCCTCCAATATTTTTAGTATCACACCCTAGATCCAAACATTGTTTCTTCTTGGATTTACTCCAAATCAAAAAGTCCAAAAATTTGAGATTAAAATGTCCTTCCCACCCTCTTTCTTTCACTCTCTCGATCGCCCTCTCTCTCTCTACCCTCCCTCTCTCTACCCCCCTCTCTTTCTACCCGCCCTCTCTCTCTTCTCTCTCTACCTGCCCTCTCTCTTGTTGTGCATAGAAACTCTAAATCCGAAAAGTTGATTTTTGGCAAATAACGTGCAAGAAATAAAACATTAAAATATATACACAAGAACACGAAGAATTTATGTGGTTCACCCTAAGAGGGTTACATCCATCGGCACGGCAAACTAAAATCCATTATACTAATGAAAATTACATCATAGATTTTGAGACATAGAGTTACATCTCTAACCCTCGATAAAACCCAATCGAGCAAATCCTTTAAACCTTCTCTCCCAAACGGTACTACTGTCGATCTCTCACATAACTAGGAAGAGATCATAACTAGACCAAACTAGCATCTCATTATTTAGGAGTCTACAAGAGGCACTATCACAATATTTCCTTCCATAGGAACCTCTCTTATCTCTAAGGGCGTGTTTGTTTTTTTTTAAGTATTCTTTTAGATTTTGAAAAAGTTCCGCGTTTGTTTCACACTTTTCATGAAAAGTTCAAAAACTAATCTTTCAACAAAAGTTCACATTCCTTTGTTAAAAAAATTTTAATAAAAAGTGAAAGATCAAGTTCTTAAGGGGATAGGAACTTAATCTTTCAGAACTTTTTTGTTGATCACTATTCACTGTACATAATATAAATATATAATATTAATATTATATAATATAATATTATATTATATAGTGATATTTATTTTATTAATATAATTTATATTATATAATATACATTCATTATATATTATATGTAATATCTAATATTACTATATATTTATATTGTATTATATATTATATATAATATACAAATATCTTATATAATACTACATATTAACATATAAATATATTATATTATATTATATTATATGTTATATATAATACAAATATACAGTAATAAATATATTATATTATATTATATTATATTATAAAATTTATATATTTATATTTATATGGTTAATATGTATATGTTATCAAACACAGTATCCAGAACTTTCTTAATATTCCAACAGGTTATCAAACACAGTACCCATAATTTATTTAAACATTCCAAAACAAAACATTCAACTTTCCAAAAGATTTAAAAACATTAAACTTTCTGGAAGATATATTTCAGAGGGCCCTAAGGGAGACCTTACATCTCATGCACAGGAGGCCCCGCCCATCTCTCTCTAGAGGAAACCATTTTTCTCATATGGTGACCCAAATAGGACGCACAAATTCTCTGTTCTTTCATCCCATATATATATAAGGTTAGGAAACCACGCTAAACTTTTTAGATGTTACATATATCTCGAAAACTAAGAGATATATCCAAGAGTCCTAATATTTTTTTATTGATATTTCTGTTAGGAAACTTATCAATATCAATCTCAATCCCACATAATATGCGATTTCCTTATGTAGGTGATTTTGGATATCACCAAATATAATATCTCCACCCTTCTGTCTACCTGTCCTCTCTCTCTACTCGCTCTCTCTGTATCTCTCTCTCTACCCACCCTCTCTTGCTCTTTCTCTCCACTAGCATACTTTTTTTTTCTCTCTTTCGCCTCTCTATAAAAGAGATTTCGGGAGAGAGAGAGCTTTTAAAAAAAGGTAAAATTACAAAAAACTCTCAAGATTACACTTTCTATACAACTTACCCCGAACTTAACTTTTTTTCTCACTTTTTTTCCGAAAACAAACTTTCTATGCAAATACCCCCCAAGGGAAAAAGATCATTGTTTTAGACGAAAATACCCTTCATGTATATTAAAAAAAAAATTTGGCCAGATTTGACATTGACTTTTGGACCCCAGTAGCACATTGCCGGAGGGCACAAGTGCCAGACCACCCTAAGACAACTACCAGATCGAAACTTAGTATTGTCGGAACTCTTACATAGTGCCGAAGTCCTCCAGTAACATCTACTATCGAACCACCCATTGTACTATGCCGAAGCCCTACTGCTGGACCACACTTTACACGGTGTTGGAGCCCTACTGCCGAACCAAACTTTACACAGTGCCGGAGCCCTACTGCCAGACCACACTTACACAGTGCTAGAGCCCCTATTTTGGTGGGATAGAGGAGAGAGAGGCACCGGTAAGGTAAAAGTAAGAAGGGTAGTTTAGGCATTTTTAATTTTTTATTTAGTTGGGGGGTATTTGCATAGAAAGTGTATTTTGAGGAAAAAAATGAGAGAAAAAGTTAAATTAGGGATAAGTTGCATAAAAAGTATAATCTTGGGAGTTTTTTTGTAATTTTTCTTTAAAAAATGGATAGAAACAGCACGAGCATAGAATTTGACTTCTAAACACTAATAATAATATTAATGGCCATATTGAATAAACTTCCTATATATCTATAACAAACCTCACCCTTTAACTCTAGATATCATATTATCTCTTTTTTCAGACTAAGTCCTCGAAGCGTTTGAGGCGGGAACTATACCAGTTGTACCTATGTGTTGAAAAATGTACAAAAGAAACATACGACTGAAATGTAAAGTGCTCTCTATGAACAAGTGATCATGGCTCTCTCGCTTTTAGTTTTGCGTAAGTGGCATGCCTCTTCCATCTGGAGTCCACATATTTGGATTCTATCATTTGTGAGTAGCCTCTGGTGGCATGCTGACCGAGAGAATCAGGAGGTTATACGGTTAACAAGCTTTTGCATAAAGCTTTTAAGATCTCATGTCTTTTTCATGCGTTACATAGCTACAATTTGCGCATGAATAGCGTGCATTGAGTGATTTGTGTTGTGCATGGTGTGCAGTGTGCAGTACACAAGACTGAGTACTAAGTTCATTTTTGTAGTACTTTATACACATGTGTATGAAAGAACGTAGTGCGCATCGTACAGTGCATAAGTGCACAACGCTCGTCATAAATACGAGCAACATTGCTACACTTTACATATGAATAGTGCGCATTGAGTGACTTGTATTCTAATCACCACTCGATTGGACACTCTTGATAGAAAAATATCCTTAAAGAGTAACCCAGGTGATTTTTTCAATCATTGTCATATTACTCTATGGAAATGCTCTTCAATGTGGATAACATCATATGAATGCCTTTCCAAGCCCATGAATCTGTCCTTGTGATCCCATGATCCCATAAATGCTCTCTGCAAATATACTTCGTTCTAATCAAAGGTAATTTGTGAACTTCCATCTGAACAATGGCAAATCAAGGTAAGTAGAGGGTAAGAACTAAGATTGGTTTTAATGGTGTTGGGAGAGTGGACGAATAATGTGTTGGTTTTAGTGTTTTTTTTTTTTTTAAAAAAAACAAAAAATTATTTTAAGTCCTAATAAATTTAGGAAGTCCTCAAGGGATGTTTTAAGGAATTGGTGAGTTTTTGGGTGACCTTTTCCAAATACTAGAAGGTCATGTTCATGTAAATGGGATATGGTGGGGGTGACTCTCAGATCTTTGGTGGAATTAGTTTTCCTTCTGTAGTTTCCTTATCAATGATATGGTTGCATTCTTAAGGCACGAGTTATAATAATATCTCACCCCTTATGAACGACCAATTCTTTAAAGCTGATCCTAAACCAAAGGCCTCTCACCATTCATAAGTGGTCAATTTTTGCGCAACAATTACGGGTGCGACGTAGGTAATAATTGATACAAAAAATGACTCGCATACAGGTGAAAACATTTTCATGTGAATGAATTCCCTCATGTGGTTAGATGTGGGGTTATTTTCACACCAATTGATCTCAGTACATCTTTTCACCCTAATTGGCATCTAATTCGTATAAAAATATTCTCACATCTAACGCCATGAGAGAATTTTTTCACATGAAAATATTTTCATGCGAAACGAAACTTGTATGTCCCTTAGGTAAAGGGAAAAGTATTTAGTATTACCAACTAAAGTAGTTTCCGTATCAGAAAACCGTGAAATCCAATTATGTGCACTTTGACAATCATCATCATCGTCAAAGCTTTTTCCAACTAATTGGAATCGGCTACACAATTTCTTATCCGTCATTCTGCTTTATTAAAGGCCGTATCATTGATGATATGAAAGAATAGCTATGAAAGAATAATAGATTTGAAGTCCAAAAGAAGTTTATCTTTATCTTAGTAATATATTTACCGGAAGGCCCATTTAAAATATTCACATAAATTTAAGTTCCACACTCCTGGGAAGAAATAGATTTCCAGACTATTATAAGGATTTCTGATGTTAAAAGGGTATATTCTATAGGAAAATTAGATGGGACTTTACCAAATGTTATAAAGCCCCATGCCCTATAGAAACCGCAGCCTAAGCAAAATAGCTACTGTTATCAACGCGTTGCTTCCACCCGTTGACCCACTTTATGCATGCCTCCCACATGGTTACAGTCATAACAATTACATAACAAACAAGACTTTGTTTTTTTTTTTATGAAATGTTAACATTAAGATTATTTAATCCTCCAAAGTTCAATTAAAATAAAATAAATAAAAAAAGAGGTAGAGACAGCCCAAACACTTTTTAAAAAAGACAGCAAAAACACTCACAAAGCATGAACTTGATGACCCTATCTACAACCAACAATCTTAGAATCCCCATGCCCACTCGAAGCACCTCAAACTGTTTATATCTCACCAACTCCTCAACCCGAGCCCCGACTGGTCACAACCACTGCTGAGCACCCGTCCTTCCACAATAAGCACACAAGCCGGAGTACAACTGACGTTATCCAAAATATGGCTATGCCTCGGCATNACCAACAGTCGAGAAGTAGGATTTAAAAGATACGGCAAAATAGAAGTGAGTGAGAGGAGAAACCAACATGGCAGAAAGTGAACCGACTTAAGGTGATATAGAAATCAGTCGCAGACACCGCTTCTAAGACACTGTATCAGGCCATAATTAAGCAGATTTTGCTCTCAAAAGAAGTAGAACCTCAACGACAGGGCACTAGCAAGCCTGCAACTAGGCTTAACCTATCTTAGGTGTTAACCTCAAATGGCTCAATATAGAGGAGTTTTAAGCCCATGAGAAAAACTCCAAAGCCTAGAAAAACCTCACAATAGGGTTCCAAACCCTATAGGAAAGGAAAACCATTTTAGGTGTTAACCTTATACGAAAGATGTGGAGGAAAAAAAATGATAGTCGGAAGAAAATGTAGATTTCAAACAAAGGGTGAAGGAGAGAGAGGGATGGAGAGAGGAGACGAGAGGAGAAAAAAGATAAGGAACCAGGGGTGAGAGAGGAGTTAGGTTTGAGCCACAACCCCCCAAACCCCCATAAAAAAACAAAAAGAGAAAATATCTTCGTACTCCTTATTTTTTATTTTTATATCTCAATAGACCCAAAGATTCAAAATATATCTCTTAACCCCCTGACTAACTTTACCCACTTCTAACTTATTTTTTTAGTTCTAACAAATATTAAAAAAACATGCTCATTTTAAACCCTTCCTCTCTTTACGTGATATATTCCCCCCAAATTTCTCTCTCTAACATTCACCCTCTTTATCTCTCCAACGGGGGAGAGAGAGTGAGACACAAGGGAAGAGAAAGTAAAAAATAGGTAGAGAGAGAGATTTAGGGGAAAATCACGTGAAGAGAGAGAAATGATGGTGCTTAGAAAAGATATGTCTTTCTTATATTTGTTTGGGGCAAAAAAATAGGTTGAAAGGGGATAAAGTTAGCTTATGGGATTAAAAGATATAAAACTTAGAATTTTTATGACCCAATATATGTTTTTAAACCTTAAGCCCATTGAGATATAAAAATTAAAAATGGGGGGTATAGAGATATTTTTCCCAAAAAAAAAACCCTAGGCCTCTCTCCCCCTAAAAAATGAGTGTTACTGAGAAGTGTAGTTAGCAAGTCTTCGTTTAAAACACAATTTTTTTTTTTCAAAAATCTTTGATTTTTTAAAGTCCGTTAAGAACTTCGAGTTTTTCAAAAGATTTTAAAAAAAAATCACTTTTTTTTAATGGAAACCAATATAAATCTGTATTTATCCTTTTTTAAAAAAAAAAAAAATCAAAACAACTTCTTCCCTATAATTTTATCTCTTCATTTATTTAATATCTTCGATTTTTAGTTTGGAGGTAAGCACATTAAAAGTGAAAGTAAATGGATAATCTTGATTTAACTAAATTTCCATCAAAAATTTCCTCGAATGTGTTTAATTAACAAAATTGCAATATACTCAAAAACATAATCCATCAAAATGACTATATGTCTTAAAATAATGGTTAAAGTTAGATGAAGACTACGACAATGGAAAATCTTTTTATCCTCTAAATACAAAGCATTGCTATAAAGAGTAAGAAAAGGACTTAGTGAAATATTTGGATTTGTTTAAGAATTTTGTTGCTTTCTTTGTGGATAAAGAAGTTTTATTGATTTCAATATTTTTTTCTTTTTTATTAGCATATACAACATAACAATTTGGAGGGACCACTATTTTACAATTTTAAGTTTTTTTTGTTTTAGTTAACTACAATCCTATAATAAATTTTTTTTATTTTTTTTCTAACGATAATCCCTTATCTTAGGTTTCGTTCTTATTGTTTCCTATTATAGTTCTTATGTTCAGTTTTGTTTTTATTGTTGTTGACTTTATGCTCCCAATAAATCTATCATATGTTTTGTATTGTAACAACAAAATAAGCATTGTTGTTGTATTTATTGAAAGTTTAGACAACAATTTGTCAAGTATGACTCTTATGACACTAGATGAGGACATAAAAACTTCAATAGTTTTTAATGTATCCATACAATAATCATAACTCGTAATTCTATATTTTGTTATCGTTATATACCCAATTTTTTCACTCTATTTTTTTACCCAAATCAAAAATATTTTCAATTATCTAAATTGACTAATTTTTGACGATCCATATTTTTTTATCCCAATTTTTGCTTCCAACTTTTTAGAGGAAAGCCGACATGTTACCAATATTTTGGTTGGTTGATATATTATTATTCTCCAACTTGCTAATTATGCTAAGAAGTGACTTAGCTTCTCAAGACAGAGAGAGAGAAAGTAAAAGGTTAAAAGAGAAGGAAGAGAAAGAGAGTACAAGAGAAAGGGAGTAAAAAGGTCAAAAGAGCAGGAAGAAAAAGAGAGTACAAGAGAATGAGAAGGTAAAAGGGACGACAGAAGGAGAAACAGGGGAATAGGTTTTTTTAGGTAATTTAGTGGGGAACAGTTTCTACCCGTTTTTTAAATAGTTAAGTTTTCATAAGTGATCAGAGGGATTGAAGAGCCCGACTAAAATAGCAGGCGTACTACCACTACCACCCATCCCGTTTCTTGCAGGGTACCACTACTACCCTTCCCGTTTCTTGCAGGGTTAGAGTTAAGAGAGAGAGATCAGAAAGAAAAGGAAAAAAAAGCTAGAGAAAAGAAGAGAGAGGGTTAGAGTTGAGTGAGAGAAAAATAAGAAAAAAAAGGGAAAAAAACGCAAAAGAAAAGGAGGGAGGGAAAAAAAAAGAGAAGCAATTAGGTCGATAGACACGCAAGGGAATATAGCATCCCCAGGATTCTCTTGGTATTGGCCCATGGTGTGATTTAGAAATAATGGAAGGTTTAGATGTGCCTGTGGACCCTCTTATTTTAGTGTGTCCACCCTTCCAAAATATATTTCCAAGTCGGATTTTGAATATGGATATGAAATTTTACAGTCTATAATCTAAGCTCCACGAATCATGATTTAAAAGGAAAAGAACTTTGAGCAATAAAAATTGGTTTATTTTATACTTTTCTTTTTTTTGGGATCATTCATTTCAATTCTTCAAAGATTATTAATTTTAGAGCTCTAAATCCATGGATACGATACAAA